CTAAGCTAGGCTAACATGCACCTCCTGACGAGCACTAATCAACACACCAATCAAACTATAATTGACTTAGGCCCCCGGGCTCAAATCCAATACTCACCTTGCCCTGCAAGTTAGGCACTTACAATTCAAGAATAAAACATAGGACCCAATCACAGCACATGCACACATCACTTGGTCACAACGCATGTCATGCTTATGCTCGTGCTCATACGCGTGCTCACGCCTCATTAATGCATTTTCGCACGCTTGCACTCCAGCACACTTGCAATTATTAATTCTCCTCCGACCCGCGTAAAACGCATCAGGTCCATCACTTCGAGATCGATCTCTAGCCCGCGTAAAACGCATCAGGCTTATGGCACAACACCCGCGTAAAACGCATCAGGCTTGGCCATCTTCCGGTAGTCCGGGCATCGTCCCGCATAACACGCCTCAGGACGGGTTCAATACCCCGCGTAAAACGCGTTAGGGTTTTATGTGATCACACATTCACATTCACCAATTATTATCTGAACCCCGCGTAAAACGCATCAGGGCATTTTAGGTGATCACATGCTCATGTCAATCGTGCACACTCATATATGCACATGCCGTGCCAATGCTTGAGATGCACACTCATGGTCATAACGTTCACACTTGGGCATTCAAGAAGTTCACAATGAGCATTCAATTGCACAACACCACTTGTTCAATTCACAACGTAATATGCTCAACTTACACCACACATATTCAATTTAATGAATCAATATGCCCAATCAGTCAATCAATTCAAATCAGCCATGGTACGTCATCGGCACACGGAAATCACGCAATTAAGCCATTAAACTTGCACAGGTCTAAGGTCCACCAAGCCTATCCTTTCTTCGCCACATAAGTACTCAACATGGCATAGCAAATTGATCACAATCAAGGACAATCCAACCAGTCCATAAGTTAATTCAACCATTCCCGGTAATCACGCAACTAAGCCCCCAAATTGATCGCGCCTTGTCCAATTCAATCCTGGTATGGACAGCCACCAAGCAAGGCATTCTAGGCCAATAAATATCCTCAAAAGACTCTATTTGGCTCCCCAAAACATCACCCAAACCAGCCACCTCGAGGACCACACTAGGCGCGCACTACAATCCACAATTGAAGCCGAACTTGCTCCAAACTTGGGCCGATTCAATCCAATATGTCCAGCCATCGCACAGCCCATTCTAAGCCTCTAAACCTCAATTAAAATTATCACACTAAGCCGCGAAATAGCCACAAAAACAGCCACCATGCGGTCTACAAATTCATCCGCCAAGTTCACAATTTCGCCCAAATTAAGGTGTTTATGCTTCGCCACATCACAGCACTCTATAGACCACTACAACTCGATTAAATCATCACTCTCGATCACTAATTGCGCCGCAAAATCAGTCCCTAACAGCCTCCACACGCTACCCCCTAAATTACCCTAATTAATCCCTAAAACTCATCTAGAAATGTAAATTAACCTAATTAGGGTTTAGGCTTGTACTCACTTGAATTCCTAGGCTCTAAATAGGGCTGAGCAAGTGACGAGGACGGCTGGACAGCGGCGGATCCGCGTCGGAACAGTAACGGCGAGCGGCGGCTCCGGCGAGGCCCTTGAGCGGCCGAGAAGGAAAGGGGGAGCGGGAGAGAGAGATACGGCGAGAGGGAGAGGGAGATGGAGGCTGAGGGGGTGCGGACCGGCGGCGGCTGGCCGGACGAGCCGGCGACGGGCGAGCTGGCCGGTGGGCAGCAACGACGGGGATGGCTGGGCTCGTCGGAACCGAAACAGGGGAGAGGCCGGGGAGGAGAGAGACAGGGGGAACTGGTCTCGCGGCAGCCGGAGGCGGCACGGCGGCTTCACGGGTGGCCAGGCGACGGAGGATAGGCCACCGGGCGGCTGGGCAGCGCCGGGTCGCGGCGGTCGCAGCAACGAGCTGCTGCTCGCGGGCCTCGCGGGCAGGCTGGCGACGGGCGGTCGCGGCGACAGACGACGGCGCGGCTCGGTCGGGGCGACGGCGGTGACGGCGACGGGGCTGGAGGCGAGCTTGATCGGCGGTCGGCGAGCAGGACAGAAACGAAGCAGAACCAGTCGGGGCCAAGGAGGAAGAAAGGAAGAAGAAGAAAGAAGAAAGAGAAAAAGAAAGAAAAAGAGGAAAAGAAGGAGAGAGAGAGGGAGTGGTTGCATGGGGAAGGAGGGGGAAACGTGCGCATGGCAGGGGGGAAAGGACAGACGCGGCAGAGGGAAGAGAGAGAGAGAGAGAGAGAGAGAGAGAGAGACTAGACGGGACAGGGGGCGCGAGCGGGAAAAAGGGGAGGAGAGAGAAAGAGAGAAAAAGTCAAAGGTAATTATTGCGATCCGCGGTCCACGGTTCAAACCCAAAACGATCTAACGGTCCATAATAATCCTAATTAATAATATAGGAAAAAGGGCCAAAAGAAAATAACTCAAAACACACTACGAGGGATGTCTACTAGTCCAAATCCGCACCCGGTTAAAAATTCACTTTTCACATGTTCCTGGCAATAGCGATCTATGGCCACAATAATATCGACACCGTCCAATTTATTTCGTCCTGAAACTCCCGAAAATCGGTTGCCAAGTTCGGGGTCTAAATAACGGCCAACTTCGATCGAATGCGATTCTAGCAAAATCTCTATTTTTAAAACAAGAACCCGAGAGTGATCAGTTCCCGAGTGAGATTCTATTATAAACGCACTGACGAATTACACGTTTTATAAATCCCAAAAATGGGCCAAAATTCGAAATGTCACATTTCGAGCTTGCCAGAAAGCATTTGTAAGCTCTCTTCTCTCCGTAAACTCGACGTTGGATATGGCCCTAATCTTCGAGAACTTCCAGATCTGCCCTTTAAAGTAACAATTCTAGGTATCACCTGCCAGAGTCCGCAATTGCCACATCTTTCCCAACTAACCCTTCTCAAGATACTTGGTATTTATCATTGCAATTGGATCGAATGTCGCCCAGAGCTTCCAGTTGGATTATCGACGCTTTGGATTCAAGATTGTGGAAAATTGACAAAGTTGACATTGTCAAACTCGAAGCACTTATCTAAACTAATTCTCTTACATTGCTGTGAGCTAACAGAAGTCGCCGGCCTGGAAGGTTTGAAATCTCTATGCATTGAAGTATATGAATGCCCTAAGCTATCTGGGATTTCATAACTGCATCGGAACTTCTTAAACTCGTTGCACATGTGAACTCAACATCATTGCAAATGCTGAAATTGATTGCAAACTGTGAGAACCTACTTGAAATTCGAGGCTTTGATGGTTAGAATCTTTGAGGATTTGAATATTTTCGGTTGCACATCCATCGAATAATCACTGGATCTATGAAGTTTAAAGAAGCTGAGGATATTCCAAGCTGCAAATTGTGAGAATCTTGTTGAAATTCTAGGCCTTGATGTCTTCGAATCATTGACAGGGTTGGATATCTTTGGGTGCACGTTCTTTTGCACAATCACTGGACCTTTTGATTTTGAAACGTCTTTGTGGGCTGTAAATTGCAAGAATCTAATTGCAGTTCATGGTCTTGACGGGTTGGAGTTGGTTAGTCTGGTGGTAATCTTTGGGTGCACGTCCATTCAACAATCACTCCAACTTTCAACTTTAACGAGTCTGAGGGAATTCTATGCTGCAAATTGCGAGAATCTGGTTGAAATTCAAGGCCTTGACCGGTTAGAATCCTTAGAAAATTTGAACATCTCCAGACACATGTCCGTTGCACAATCACCGAACCTTTCAAGTTCAAAACATCTGAGTCTATTTTGTGTTGCAAATTGCAAGAATCTGGTAAGCTGTTTCTATCTCTGGTTGAACACCCATTCAATCACTTGACCTTTCAAGTTTAAAGAGTGAAAGAATTAGATGTTGCAGACTGCGTTAATCTAGTTGAAGTTCGAGGCATGGACCAGTAAGCATCTCTAGAAAGGTTCAATATCTCTGAATGCAAATCCATTGAAAGATTGCATGCTGCCCATTGCCGGATCTAGCTGAAATCCATGGTCATTATAGGTTGGATTTATATGCAATATTGAATATCTCTAGGTGCACATCTATCAAAAGATTACCGGACTTTCCAGTTTAAAGAATTCGAGGGAATTTCATGCTGGAGACTGCAAGAATCTAGTTGAAGTTTGAGGCCGTATCTTTGGAAAGGTTACTATCTCTGGATGCATGTCCATTGAAAGATTACCAGACCTTTCAAGTTCAAAACATCTGAGGGAATTCAATGCTGCAAATTGCCGGAATCTAGCCGAAACACATGGCCTTGACAGGTTGGTTATTGGTAAGATTGGATATCTCTGGGTGCACATCTATCAAACGGATACCAGACCTTTATAGCTTAAAGAATTTGAGGGCATTTCATGCTGCAAACTGCAAGAGTCTGGTTGAAATTCATGGCCTTGACGGGCTGGAATTATTGGTAATATTAGCTATCTGTGGTTGCATGGCCCTAGGAATATTACCAGATCTATCGTGCTTAAAAACCCTGAGGCAGTTGAACATCAACCATTGTGAGAAGCTGCTTGACATTCAAAGGCTAGAGAATTTCTCATTCTGCAGATGTTTGTGTATCCAAGGATGCAAGTTGTCAGCAATATTTCCAGATGTGTTCATATTCTATGATTTAAGGAACTTCATAGTGATAGATTGTTGGGAACTTTCAGACATCCAACGGATCAAAGGATCAAGATACCTAGAAAGTATAAAAATTTCATGATGCTCATCAATTGAGACTTATCAGATTTGTCAGGGCATAAGAACTTGCCATATTTGTTCACACGAGAGTGCGACAAACTAGCCAAGCCTAAAGGGCTTGGAGACTTGGAGCTTCTACGAGCTTTAGACATTTCCAGATGCAGGTCGCCAAAAACAATACCCGAATTCTCAAGAGCTTCCTCAGACAGAATTATGAGCAGTTGTTACGTCAGGTTGCTCATGAGATCACATTCTGGTTACGTCATGTCCCCTGACAAGGCAAAATCTTAGTCTTGATAATGGCGGGAAACTGGCAGTTCTGGTAAATCATCTGTGAGTGATCCTTCTTTGTACAGTACCAAGTGAATCATATTTCTTAGTTGGAATGAAATCTTTGTTTCGATCACGGTAGGAATGTAACTGCAGGCCTTGTTGGAGAACTAGATCATAAAGTGCCTTTTGAAAATATAATTTGTCATTTGCAATTTGTCATCCACTATGATTCTTCATCCTTGACATGATACCAAGAACCAGACTTTTAGATTGATTATCTTTTTCCAAGTTCTGTATTCAAAGGTTGTTTTGCTTACTTGAAGGTCATCTATAACGTGTTTTTTTGTTTACACAGCAAGTTAAACTTGTATGTTCGGTTTGATTCTTCTAATGCCAGGCATACTGGTTTATACGCGATGTTGATACGGTGGAAATTACAAGATGTTGAAAGAACAAGCAGCTCTTTAAGTAAATCCCTTTGAATTGGTTTTTATTGTTCCGCTGTTTGTCAACTGCAATTCTCTCTTTTGTCAGTTGTCATACGACTGCTCAAAGTAATTTAATGATTAATGTGTGGACTATTAAGGAAGCTTCTGGAGGCAAATTACAAAAACACCTCGGCAAAGGAGAGAGATCATACTGCAGGATTTATGGCACTCAATCCCCAGAATTTGTCGGGTTCTTTCAAGCTAATTTCATAGGGTGTGAATTTGACATGCTGCAAGTCTGCAAGAGTGAGTTAGTAGTTTCACTGTCATTGTAAATTCTGGATGAACTGTTTATGTGTTGAGCTTGATCCTAACAAGATTCACACCGTTTATCCTGTTACCATGCATTTACTCTCCTCATTCGTCATTCAAATGATCGGATTTTTTCACCATGCCAATGAGGATTTTGTTCTAGTGATGCTCTGTTTTGACTTTCCAGTATGCAAGTTTTTGTCTACAGCTGCTTTCTAATTTTTTCAAAAATCTTGGTCTTCATGTTATAGGAACTGCAAATAGAGCCAAATTTCAGAATTTCGGAGAACTATATATCTGTTCCAAAAGAACTGATGAACTATTACAAGTTTGATCGATTTTATCTGTATGCATCATGCTGGAATTCTGAGGAGAAGCCTTTTAACGAGTTCATTCACTTTATGACTAGTAGCAACACCTCATAATCTATCGGTAGTCCACCTATATCTAGTAGAATAGTCATCGTCATGTATTATGAACTAACATAATAAGCTTATGGCAATGGACATGAACAGGACTAGCAATGTCACACACAGAGATGAAGCATCACTTCCAGGTGGTGGTAGAGATGCAGTGGTGCCCGTGGTTGGGGCTGGTAGTGATGAGGATCCCGCTGGACTGGAGGTTGGGCCGATGTAAGTCACCGACGGTGACTGCTAATTTTTTGCCCTGACAGCAATGGTCGCCCTTAGGAAAGGTGTGGACGAAGTAATACTCCTGGCATGGTCAAGGGAAAAGGTGGTCGGTCCGTTGGTAAGGTGATGAACGAAGAAGCAGCACCCTATAAGATTTCGCCAGAGCATCATTAACCACCATTGATAGTTTTGCTCTTACAGACATGAGATGTCTATGACCTCGGCCTGAATTATTAAATCCTTGTCTAACATGTTGACATGGACTTCTCTGAAGCAGGAGATAGGAAGTAGACAAGAACTGAGAATAGAAGGGCAAACTTTCCTGGTCGATAGGACTCCAAAAAATAACAAACAAAGCAAGAACTTGCAATGATCCCCAAGCTATAAAAGATCAAATAACAGGGACTTTTTAAAATTCTTTTACACTACTCTTGCATTAGAAATCATCAGTTAACAACTTAGCATATTGCCAACAGATGATGGATTCAGTCTAACCAGATGCCACGCATCTCGGACACCACCATAATTCAAAATCTGGGAAAAGCAGAACATGGAAATTTTCATTCCAGGACCAGGGTCATATGAGGACCAGGTAGATAAGCAACCGTTGATTTTATGGGTATCACTTGAGTCTTACAAGATCAACGGCTGTGATGCATTCGTTCCAGTGGATCCCAACTTGAGCAAGAACAAGAATTTGCCAACAAGACATCATTTCTTACTTTTTCCATATGGTAATTGTAATATCTCAAAAAAAATTGTTGATGTGTTTTGGTGTTGTTTCCTCTTTCTGACCGAAGTTGATGCTATCTGATCCACGTGAATTTCATCGTTATGACCACAGCTAGACCAAACAAATGTGGGCAGCTGCCAAATTGATATGTGACAAGTAGATCTGTCAAAATGAGTCATAGATTCATTTCTTAACCTATATATGATGAACTAAGTTGTTATATAAGCAAGTTATATTCAGTAAATGGGTCATAAACAGATTTAAACATAATATGGGTATTAAATGGGTCATGAACGGGTCATATATGGGTTTATTGATTACTTAATCTCAACTCACCTCTACGACTCTCCTCTTCATTTTCTCTCATCCTCACTCACTCACTTCACACTCTCTCCTTAGTTTCGGTGTGAGTTTTTCTAGATTGAGTTAAACATAGAAGTGCTTTAGCAATATGAGTCAGATTGAGCACGGGTTGGATATGGATCACTAGATTTGCATTGAATGGAAATGGATTAAAACGGGTTAAATAGACATTTTTTATCAGATTATTTTCTATCCGACTCACCCATTTGACGGGTCTACCAACAAGTGACACGTCTCTAGTGTGTTCTACAACTTAAGCCATTAGTTCATACTAAAATTATTGGGGATCTGCTTCCATCTTCAAAAACAGATGGGAACACAAGCCAATGAGACAGCGGCACACGGGCATTCCATTCAACATCTCAAAGATTAGTTTTAAGACCCATTACTCGGTCAGTTAGCTAACACTATGCCCCAAATCAGCTCCTGTTTTTGGTACTTGCGATATCATTGGCACTGTGAGTGTGATTGCCAACCTCACCTATGCTAAAATACTTTAAATTAGCATTTTAGCACAACCCTTCATTTTCTTGATGAAACGGAATATAAAGAGAAATCTTTTTGTGTCTCTGACTACTTCATAGGGTCGAGATCCTCATAAATAATAGTTAGAAGAAGTAACATTATTTCTCATCCTAAACATTAACGAAGTGTTTGTTGAGACTTTACGTCTCAAGAAGTGTGGGATCTCATTTTTACCTTTAGTTTGAAGGAGTTCTTTATAACCAAATAAATATTTGGTGACCTCTCGGCAAATCCACGTATCATAGGGCGTTCCTGAGGAAATTTTTGTTGGAAAACATCCCTATGATATTTTGATGATTACCAAACAATCTCTGAGTTATAACAGTTACAATGACGAATGCAGATAGTGAAATTGGTTATACATTATCAATGATCCAGCTTATTAGCAAAGATGAGAAACTAATAGTCTGAGTTTATGGACCAGTCATGATAGTGTTCTTGATAGTCTTTGGTACTAATAAGAATTGGAGAATCATTGATCTCAACATCTCGTGTCATTCAGTTGGTATCATTATTGAAGATAGTCAGCCAGGTCACTCACAATTTGCATCGGTGATAGTGTGCGTATGATAGTGATAGTGATGCAGTAGGTGTGATGATAGTGAGATACGCTCTGGAAAGATGACCATTGATAGTTCAGAATGTAGCCATTACAAGATTGGACTCCGTAGCAAAAAAATCGGGAAAACAATCTGAAAAGCAGCTGATAGTTAATAGTTCTGAATCTCTGACAGATGCAGCAGGCCTACTTAAGGAAACCTAAAACTCGCAGAGGAAGCGACTGCAGGAGCATAGTCGATTCCGTCATAGTTCTCCTCCAACGACCCTCAACGGCTAGTCGATCTCCAACGGACACCTTGAGAACTCCAGTACATAAGGAGCAGTGATATTGTGAAGAGGTTGGCCATATTTGTAACGCCCCGACCTCGGGGTCATTAACGTGACGTCCCGTTCATTATTTTTTTTCTTTAAACACAAGCGGAAGCATATCTCGGGACAATCACATTTTAAACAAACAGCGGGATTCAAACAAACAGCATCATGAGCAAACCTTGTATTTATAGGACACACAAACATATTTTACAAGCCAACTTAGCCGATTTTAGTCATTTACACAACAATAACAAGTGGCTTGGGTGTCCTAAGCTTACTACTTCGGATTCACAGCTCCTAACTTTCCCCGAACTCTAACATGGCTCAAACTTCCCCTGTCGCCGCCATCCGTTCGACCATCCTATGGACCTGAGAGGGAAAAACGGGGGATGAGTCGGGGAGACTCAGCAAATAAAAACACTAATGTCAAGCGAGGATATATCAATCGTCGTTAACATAAGTCGGCCCTTACCGCACCCGCATCGATGGCAGATCAATAGCAAAGTTCAAACAAGAGAACATCACGCATGGCCACATCGTGCACACTTTACAAATCAAGGCTCGGTTCTATCTCAAAACAACATCAAACATGAAACATGGTTAAATCGAGAAATGAACCAACTACGACCAACCAAACAATCGAGAAACGGTCCAAGCAAACCACGTCACAACGCATCTCAACATCCTTTCCCGGTATTAGGGAATTCACTTGCACATCAATTAAACAAGAACTAGAGAAAACGAGGCGTGTGAAGGACACGCGAGTCTCGGCGATTCTCGGACGATTCTTGGTGGTTCTCGGGCTTAAACACGAACACACGGCCTTGGATGTGGCTTCGTCACTCAATCAAACCACAAGAGAGACACGGGCTAGCCGGTTCGGGACTTGTTTGGGCGTGAGCTTCTCGATCAAAAGTGAGAAAACTAGAAACAAAAGGAGAGGAAGATGGTGGATGGTGTTGGCGTGAGATGATGATGTGAGAAGAGAGAGAAGGGGATGTCTTGCTTTTTAGGGAACTCTTAGAAAACCCTAGAATAAGCATTAATGGAGGGCTTCTAAGTCAAGTGTCATCATAGCATGCATTTAATGCCATTAAAAGCTATTAATGGACTAAAATGATGAAGAGTCTAACATTATCTTCGCCTCATTGTCTCTCTCTCTCTCTCTCTCCCTCTTTCTCTCTCGGCTCTCTCTCTTCTCTCTCTCTCCTTGGCCGAATGGCCTTTCTCACGGCTCCCTATTTATCATACTCCAAACTTGGTCATCACTCAAGGCCATTAAGGCATGCCATCATGATAGGGACTCCAAAGTCAAGATCATTTAATTAGGCTTCTTGAACAAACCTCATTCATTTCCAACTCGGGCTTCAAGTTTTGATTTTTCTAGAATCATCCAATTCCAAGCTTGCTTCTCTCTCTTGGTTTCCCCCTGGGCCAACCTCCAAAAAAGCATAAAATATCTCATTTGAAAGCTCAGAATGTGTACTTTAAATCACCAGAAGACACCAAGTCCAAATTCCAACGTTCTCATATAGAAAATGCTGATTCTTTAAAATCCGACAAAACCCGACAGCTTTGCACTGTTCACGAAATCGGACTTGAAAACATAGTAAATGGACTTCAAAAATTCTCAAATTTGAATATGTCATAAACAAGGCCTTAAAAAACATTTCTCGTAAGAAGACAAAATCGGAATCTCTCTGTAAACACCATTTTTAGTAGCTCAAATACAGACTAAAAACAGTTCACTGGAACAGAATTCGTGTTTCTCAAATTATGCTCTGTCCAGAATCCAAATCATCTCGGAAAATTCCCAAATTTATACACGTTATAAAAAAGGAAGTTTTCAACAAATTTCGTGAAGGAAACTTTTCCAAAATCGACCCAGAAAATCTTGTAGAAAATAAATACAGTGTAAACATCACCGAAATACCCATTCTGGGTAATTTTACACGGTCCGAAAATCAGGCCATCGTACCATTCATATCAACTCCAAAAATTCTGAAATTAAAGTATGTAAAACTTCATGATGCTTGGAACAACTTTCAAGAAGAAAGTATTTGGAAATTCGGACCACAAAAGTCTCCCCAAAAATAACAAAACTAGGGGGTACAAAGGGTCCGAAACTGGGTTTCCCAAAACAAGAGTAAAAATATTAGTTCCGATTGGAAAACCACCAAACTTAAACCATAACCAATTCCCAGGGACCGAAATTGAGGATATTACATTTTACCTGCGGCTTCCTAGGCTCAAAAATCGGGATGTGACAATATTGAATACTGCGATCATTATCACAAACATAAACTATAGTTGATCTTGCTTTGTATTGCTCTCTGTATTTAGTTTAGCACTAGAACAACTAATAGTCGAATGTACAAGTGTAAGAGCAGTGTGTATATCCTAATAGTGTGATCTATCAATTATAAGGAACAACACCAGCCGGTTGTAACTTGTTCTATTCATCATTAGTGGAATCTAGCCGCTATTAAGGTTGTTAGTCCGAGAGTGGACGTAGGCTTGGATATAAATGCCAAATCACCATAAATCGCAGTGTGATTGTCTTGATTCACTATGATCAGCTTATCATTATCACACACGTTGTTCTGTTTAAGATACTATCCTGAGTGTTGATTGTTTAGTATTCTGCAAAAGCTTTTATTATCATCACTCAAGTGTCGTAGATTATTGTTCAAACAACTAATCAAAAATTGGCTCATCCACAGGAAAATATGTTCAACTTTATATGATAGTTGGGTGTTGTCCCGTACCAAAGTGTTTCCTCCAGATCCATCTCCAGTCAGAAAGTTATTAGACACGGAAGCACAGAAAAAGTCAGCGATTTACTCATGAAGAGGAGATTCGTAAGAGGATAAGATATGCAGTCTCTTGCTCTTCACTCCAGCTCTAGCTATTCAAGCATTTGATTGCATGTCATCATGATCTTTTCTTGTGGCTGTCATCATGATCTTTTCTTGTCGCTGTCATAATCATTGAATGGTGCATTTTTGGCCTTGTTTTGCTCTAAGAGTTCTGCATATTAATTAGTGCATGGAATTATCTCAATGATTTAATTCGAATTTATCAGCATACAGTAATCTCAAAGCTGTATAGTTGCCTAATTACACAAATGGGAATGCTCATAATGTGATTCTGAGAGCAAGCCAAAGTTATGCCATCTCTAGGGACTCACACTTAATGGAGATTTTTTCTTGTCAAGTTCTTGCCGTCGCCATCCGTCGAAATACCAATCAATCAGCCTGCGAGATTATTTTTTATTACTGCGTTTAACTGGCTTCTACATCGTGAAATTATCTTTAAAATTCTATCGGCGCCTTGAGTACGAATTTTCGTTCCATTGATCCAGAATATATGTCGGAGATATAGGAAGATTTCTCTAACGATATAGTTTCCAAATGCTGAATATATGTTTGTTCTCTATGTCGATGGAAGAAATGATGGATATATCAAAACCATCACTGAATATACATCAAAAGCTTGATCATCTGTCCAGTTTATGTGTCTAATCGCTATCTTTGCTTAGCATATTTGTGGATGACATTGAGCTTGCTTATTCCAAGAGCGGAATTCCTCTACCATTGCACAATTTTTTTGACCGAGAGCTATGGCTTCATATGTTTTCCTAAAAAGATTAAGCTTCACCCTGCTTATGCAGGTTTTTGCCTTTTAGATTTGGCCCATTCTATCGCCGACCTTGCCAGCGCATCCATGGGGTCGGTGAACTTCTTCAGAAGAGGATCATCATGAGGCAGAAGACTCTGCATTTCGTCGGAAGCGAGGACTACGGTGTTTGCAGCCCTGATTAGGAGGACTTGGATCGCTATTCTTAAGAGGATTCGCGCCCCTTCGATGTCCTTCCTGTGCAATGCCTCGACTGCGGGAATGTAAATGTGGTCCATGGTTGCTTTGTCGGGCAGCATGACTTCGAAGCCCTTGAGCATAGGAATAGAGATGTATTCATGATCAGATAGGGAAAAGAAAATATGATTCAGAGAGTAGGTGATATATTCACCATCTGAACATCTTCAGCTTCAGAACTCAACATGAACCATAATCCAGATCAGTAGAATTCAATTGTAAGTGTTTGAGTCCTAGGACTAAGACAGGATATCAATGACTAACGAGAAAATTAGCTGTGCCTATGAGGAAGCTATAAGCCTAGATATGACCGTTCACCATAGTTGTATCTCGAAAGAGATGATGCAGAAAAAGATCGAGTACAGCTTTTTATGTCTAGAACCATTTGCATTCTATGACAGTCATTTACGCTAAGACACTCCTCTTTGAATGCCACTCAAAAGAGAATTTTCTCCTTGAGCCATTTTCCAACACATTCAGTACCAGAGGTGAGTAAAGAGTGTGTTTATACCTGCCTCTGGAGCTGCTCCTGATAAAAGCCACTCGTCAAAACAGCGTCCATCCCAAGCAGCCCGATTCGTGCATCACTTCCAGCTTCAAGCGGCTTCAACTTGGCCCTCTTGAGCTCCCTCGCGACGCATTCGCCCATGTGAAGGAATGGCAAGGCACACCCTCTGGATACCTCCTCGTGCCACACATGACACAAGTGACACGGCATGACTACACACCCTGCTCCTGCATCCTCGAGAAATGCTCTCTTTCTCCGCAAGTTTTCGATGATTGCATCTTCATTTAACTCCAATCGAACATTTCTTCTGCGTGACGAGCGGAATGGGCTACAGAGGGAAAGGTCTTTGTTTAAAGCCGGGTCGCTGCAGACCACAAAAGGGACGCTTTCTTCACCGCCCTTGGAGCTCCATAAGACAAGCTTCTCCAAGAAAACTAACGTAGATAGCACATATGGTCCTCCAATTATGCCGACAGTATTTCCATGGCCAAGCAGAGGATTTGGGAGAGGGTGACTTCGTGGAGCTGAACTAGACCCTGAAAAATTTCTTGCTTCGGGTGGATTTCCACCGGCATCTGATGGTGCCAGATCCGGTGACAATTTTTGACCTTCAGACTGATTAGGCCTCGTTCTGCACCAAGTCCTAACCTTGTTCACATCGTCCTTACAGATTGGCCAACTATTTGCGCTATGGAAGGACATTCCTAGGCTTCCTTTCAGCATCTCCAATGACCACATAAAGTCGATCAACTTCTTGGTCAGTGGCTCTCCATTCAGAATCCAAATTACCAACCTGAATAAGCTAAAATCTCTCTGAGCTCCAAACTATCCATCTAGAAAGCTTTGTCATCGAACGCTTGTGGGGTTGAAAGAACTTTTGCAATGCTCAAAAAGATCTCCAAAATCCCAATGCGTGGTACCTGCTCCAAAGGCAATATAGCTAGCGCTCTCTGCTCCGCTTTAACGGTTTCATTCACTTAACATAAGAATGACTAGATGCAAAGAACTCTGACAAATCCAGAATGAAAAATCTGTTATTGAGCAATTATGTTGGAGAAAGGCGGCGAAGAATCAATATATTTGCTGTCCAAGGTGTATGTCTGATCTTTGAAATGTTCAGGTGACGTGAACATTGGCGGGACCGGCAGCAATCTCTAAGATTTCGCCAGAGCATCGTTAATGACCGTTGATAGTTTTGATCATACATGAAGACAAATAATGTCTATGATTTTGGCCTGAATCGTCATGTCCTTGTCTAACATGTTGGTAGGGACTTCTCTAAAGCTGAAGATAGGAAGTAGACAAGAACTGAGAATAGAAGGATGAGATTTTGAGGTCTATAAGCCCCCAAAATATCAGAAACAAAGCAAGAACTTGGCTATGGTCCACAAGCTACAAAAGAACAAACAACAGGACTGTTTTAGCTCTTTTACACTACACTTGTATTAGAAATCACCAGTTACCTACTCAGCGTGTTGCCAAGAAATGGTGGATTTTATCTAATCAGTTGCCACGCACCTCGGACACCACCAGGGTTCAAAATCTGGGAAGAAAAAAACACGGAGATTTTCTTACCAAGAGACGAGGTCGATAATAAACCGTTGATTTTATGATCGCGCGTGAGCTTCATAAAATCAACGGCTGTGATTCATTTGTTCGGTTGGACCCAATCTGAGCAAGAATTTGCCAATGACACCTCATTTCTTGCTTTTTCATATGGTGACTGTACTATCTCGAAACAACTGTTGCTGTGTTCTGGTGTTTTTCCTCTCCCTGACTGACGTTGATGCTGCCTGATCCAAGTGAATTCATCGCTATTACCACAAATAGACCAGACAAACGCGGGCAGCCGGCAAATCAATACGCGAAAAGTGGTGGGTCTCTACTCTGTTCTACAATCCATGCCATTGGTTCGTACTAAAATTATTGGGGATCTGCTTCCATCTTCAAAGACAGATAGGAACGCAAGCCAATGAGACAGAGGCCCACAGGTATTCCATTCAACATCTCAAGATTAACTTCGAGACAAAATTGTTTGGTCACTAGGCTCCAAATCAGCTTCTTTGTTTCCACCTGTGATATAATTGGCACTATGGGTGTAGTGGTCCACCCCACCGATGCTAACATGCTTGAAGTTGACATTCAGGGCAACCCTTCATTTTCTTGATTAAAGGGGATAATGAAAATCTTTATTCACCTCCGACTCCTTCATAAGTTCAAGATCCTCATAAACAAAAGTTTTGGCATTTTCTTCTCCTCCTAAACAAAGGGTCTATTGAGGTTTACATTTCGAGAAGTGTGAGGTACCATGTTTGCATTTAGCTTTGAAGCCTTGAGGGCGTCCTTTATTAATTACTAAAAAAGGATTCAGTGAATGAGTGACTTCCCGACAAATCCACTAATTATACGGCGAGGGTGGTCGGTCGTTTTTGTGACCACATCCTCTACTACTTTTACTCACTAAATTGACACCACCAAGTACTGAAAATCTCACGTGTGTGAATCATGTTTCCTGATTTACATGTCATCACAACTGTCTGAATTTTTAGGATCTATAAGGTCAATAATTGTACCGACGCGGTCCATCTTGGACGGGTCTTTGGGAATATTTGCCCGGACCACAATCTCGAATTCCACAATCTCGAATTCCACAATGAAAGAAAACAGTACCTTGTCGCTTCTACAGCCTCCCAATGGAACTTTTTTCCATTTGTAATTTGATGTTTGGAGGAGTCGCTCAGTTGTTCCAATAGAAGCCGGCAGCCAAGTTACTTCGCTGCTCACGATGCGCCACATTAAGCAACAAAGAAGGCATCTAAGGGTGCGCGTTTAGTAATATTTCTGTTCTCGAAAACAAATTTTTTTTTCAGAAATAATATTTTTTTAGTTGTATTCGTGGACAAATTTCTGAGCAGAAGAACGCATTTGGTAACTGCACAAAATGTATATTCTCATAATAGAAAAAAACATAAAAACATTTGGTACGGCCCTAAAAAAAATTTTGCGACGTGATTTTTTTTAGTTTTAAATAAATTTTTTTCTGAGATTAATCTAATTTTTTGAATTTTTTCCTTGTTTTTTTCCTCCCTTCTTTTTCCTCGTCTAGCCTATCGCCGGGCCTCAACGATGGCCGGTCAAAGCCAACCTCATGGTAGTTGGGCGAGGTCGAGCCTCGCCGATGGCTAGGCAAGGCTGAGGCCCATGACCGGCTAGAAGAGGAAGAAGAAGGAAGGAAAAAAAGAAACGAAAAAATGACTTGTTTTAGAAATTATTCCTGAGAATAAAGAAGTAGGTGTTATTTACTTCTTATTTATGTTCCAAATATATTCCCTGGCCACTTTTCTACTTTGGGGAATAGAAGAATTAGTTGACGTTACCAAATGAATTTCTATTCTTTTTCTATTCCGAGGAATAAAAGAACAGAAAAATAGAAAAACAAGATGGTTACAAAACAGGCCCTAAATCAGAATTTTTTGGCCTAGACAACATAGAAATTGACTTGACCAGCATGGCAATGAGTGATACCAGTGACGATTTCTAATATGAATTAATACACTCGTGGAGGTAACTATCGAAAAACTCCGAAATGATACGGACTACTGCTTACTCGAAATACATCTCTCTTCATCATATTCAACATCAATGCATAAAATTTGTAATGATAGGACGTAACAGGGATTATTGACCCTGTTAGACACACGCGAACCGTCTTTCATCTAGTTGTTTGCTTGAGAAAAAACCGCATACGATCTTATAATTTACATAATGCAAAATCGATCGAAAATCTCGTTGAGGCCGCTCCCCGCCACGGAAGAATCTTGTGGAGGAGCTCCCTTAGGTTTTCGGGATATTGGATTCTCACTCTCGACTCCGTCTCTTTACAAACTCGATGTCGCAATCCATTGACGCCGGTTACTCCTCGAGTTAAACGCTACGGTTTTCTAACGAGAAGCAGTGTAGTCTCACGGATTCGGAAAAACGTAGTCTTGTAGTAAAAAGGGGAAAAAAAAAATTGATAAATTGTGGAAATAATCCCTGCAGCCCAAATTCATCGGCTCTTTTGGGACTTGCCCACGCGGGACTCTTCGATGGGCCTTCAATTGGGCTGACCGGCCCAAATCCAGTTGGATCAAGCCCAAACCAGAAATTTCCCCGAACCTCATTTCTTCCGGGAAAAGTGTCAAAAAGGTCCTAAACCTTTGGCATTTATGCCAATTTAGTCCTAAACTTTTTTTGGTGATAATTCAGTCCTAAACATTTTGCATTAGTGCCAATTTAGTCATAAACCTTTTTTTTGGTGCCAATTCAGTCATAAATCTTTCGCATTTGTGCCAATTCAGTTCTTCCGGTCAATTTTAGCCGGATTTTGCTAACTTTGCACCAAAAAAAGGTTTATGATTTAATTGGCACAAATGCAAAAGGTTTAAGACTTTTTTGACACTTTTCCCCATTTCTTCTAGGGGTGAGTGGTTTTCGGTCCGGTCCGGTCCAACCCAAGAACCGGGAACCAAACCGGTTCCCAGTTTCTAGGATCGAGGACTGGACCGGCTAGTCTTGGGACCGTGAACCGGATCGAACCGATGGTCCGGTTCCAATGGGACCAATCACTTATTGGTAAAGACAAGAGGGAATTTAATCCCCCATTATAAAAAGTGAATGTGCTCAAGGAAGCAAAAGAAGCAATGGTGCTCAGCAAGAATCAACAATAAGCAGTTAGAAAGATATCTACAAGAACTTGCCTAAAGAACAAGACAAGTGACAAGTAAATTTCTAATATCCCCTTCTTGGGTATTCAAGCGGTTTTCAGATCATTCACTACAGAAGTCTTTGCGGCACAAGTCTCCCAATGCTGCGTCAGAAATAAACAGGCTTGACGTCGTTAGGCCCGAAACTAGCTCCACAGGATGGGCATTTGCGAGGACGAGTTTCTGTTATGTTTTGGATGCAGGTGTCATTACAGAATAGGTGATAGTATTTCGTGATGACAACCTGAGGATTTAAAAGCAAATATTTTCTTTTTTTTTTTCAAAAATTTTAAAAAGTAAATAAATATATATGAAAAAATTAGAAAAATATATATTTATCGGTCCGGTCCGATCGATCTGGTCCAATCCGATTCCCACCCTAGAACAGGGAACCGGACTGTTCGAAAACCGATTCCACTTTTAGGAACCGGGAACCGGACCGAACCGGTTGGTTCGATCCGGTCCCGATTTGGGCGGTCCATCTTGCTCACACCTAATTTCTTCCCGGCATGATTGGGCCCACAAAGCACACCCAATGGATCACCTCCACGTGGCGGAAGCTCGACCCCTTCGGAAAATTCCAAAACCCTGACTCGGGCAGAGCTTCCAGTCCGGTTCCGCACTTCGAAGAAGGGGCAAAAAAATGGCTTCGACTTTTCTCAGGAAACTCGCCCGGTCCGCGCCGATCGCCGTCGCCGACTCGTACCGCCGCCGCTCGAGGTCGAGCTCCGGCGGCTTCCGCATCCCCGTCGCCGGGGCGATCGCTGCCGTCTCCGGGGGCTTGTCCTGCTTCTACTTCGCCTCGTCTCCGAACGTGGTATTTCATCCCTCCCTCCCCTCCCGCCGAATATCTTGGCGGGTTTGCTTTTCACGCTAATCAGTCGCCGCGATAATGTGTGCGCACTTGCGAGTTTGTGAGGTGGGAGATTGTACCTATTGCTAGCTTGAGGGATTAGGAGAAGGACTAGAGATGTTGCCAACGCGATGTGGAGCTGCATCAGTGTTTTTGGTTCTGCATTTGGTTGGGGCGGACTAGTTTGAATTGCTGACAATTGAGTCCAGGATGTGAGATTTTGTGAGGTGGATATCGAGTTGGTCTAGTATTTCATGGATGCCCATGTTGTTTTAGGCAATTCGGCTTAATTTTTTCCCTGCAGTAGCAGCTAGTGTAGGGTCATGCATCCTTTGGTTACCGGTATCTTATTCCAATCACTAGCATTCGCCATTTTATCAGAGATGCTGCATATAAGATCGTTCTGGGGCTTAGGCATGCTACATTGCATTGATGGTACGAATCATTGGGTGTAAAATGTTTGAACCTTTTTCCTTGAAGTCTTGACCACTCAGTTCTCCATTGTGGTCATTTATGTTCTTTATGTACTTCCT